AAGCATCCGTGGAGACTTACGCTTAAGAGTAAAATGTATTGCTTTGTTCGAATTGATTCCAGAGTGAAGAGGCACTCCAAAGGCAAGAAGACACAAGGATTCTGTATAATTAGTTTGTGCTGTGTGAATGTAAATGGGTGCTTGAAAACAGTTTGCTCTCTTAAACATCCTCAGTATTCCCCACTTCTGTCTTCCAGAAAGTAGGACTGTTTAAACAAACCCCTTCTGTGTAGAGGGTGCAGAGGTTAACTCCAGTCCAGCCCCTGCCTAGTTTTCATCCACTCCAAATGCTAATGGCGTTTGAATCAATCGGAAAGATTTGAGCTTCCTAGATGGAGAGATGGCCTCTTAAAACTTGGATGCTATATATAGTATCTCAATATGAAGTGAGACTAGAAAAGTTTTATGAGAGAAGAATCCTCAGGTGCAGATGAAAGACAATCATATTCTGTTGTAAAATATTTCCTTACATCTAAGACCCAGTTAAGTGACAGGTCACCCTCAGCACCCTCCCCCATGCTCACAGTGGCTTAGAGCATCTTTATAACATAGGGATCATTTAATTTCTTCACACCAGGGCATCAAGTATTTCCACACTCCACTGGAGTGTGGAAAAAAATACCAAATTTCCTCTCGTTTTCTAGTAGGAAACCATAGAGCAGACATTTGCTGCTTATATCATTTTTAAGGACAGGCGTTTAAAGTGGCACAAACCTTTGATATGGGCTTAAATTCTGAGTATTATAAAAATTTAGTGCAAAGTAAAGACTTCCTTGAAAGACAGGCTACTACTTATGTGTGAAGTGCTGACAACTTAAGAGCATTTTTTAATAAACACATCTCAAACTTGGCATGCAAAATACATTTGCTGCTTATATCATTTTTAAGGACAGGCGTTTAAAGTGGCACAAACCTTTGATATGGGCTTAAATTCTGAGTATTATAAAAATTTAGTGCAAAGTAGAGACTTCCTTGAAAGACAGGCTACTACTTATGTGTGAAGTGCTGACAACTTAAGAGCATTTTTTAATAAACACATCTCAAACTTGGCATGCAAAACGGAGCATTTAGAAAGCCATGAAAATAAGCCACTGCATAAAATACAGCATTAAAAAGGTAACTGTGAACTTTACAGATGGACAAGTCTGAGCAAAGCTTTCTTTTGTTAGGGTGGATGTGAGAGCTTACGGTTCTTTGCTACAAAAATAAGAGTAGAAACTTGTTTTGAAGTAACAGCTACAGAGAGGGCTCCTTCTGGTTCATCCATATTTTATTAGGGTAGCAGTTAAAAAATTCATTAGCGACACCCATCTGGAGCTAACAGCACTCTTGAGGGGGTTCAGATGGTGATCGGATTTTTGAGTCGCACTTTGCATGGAAACAAAAAGACAATCGTTTATGAGAATTAATAGGTGCTGTGGAGAGAGGCTGCACAGTGATTTCAGAGCAAATCCTTTCACGGGCTTTATGAGTCTCTAGTTGCTAAATTCCTCTACTACTTGCTTCACCTGGAGGAAGGAGATCCAGGGGTAAAAAGGAAAGAAAAGAGAGCTCAGGACATTGGATCAGAGAGTTGGGCAGGTATTGGCCAACGAGAGTGGGTGGGTTAAGTGTCTAGGGATACCATGCTAGATGCCGTGTGTATTGGCCTCCAAGAACCTCCTCCTGCTCTATCTTTACCTTAAGTTCTGTCTACAGGGCTCCCCTGGTGGCTCAGATGGTAAAGAATTTGCCTGTAAGGCAGGAGACCTGGGTTCAAAACCTGAGTCGGGAAGATCCCCTGGAAAAGGGAATTGGTTGCCCACTCCAGTATTCTTGGCTGGAAAATTCCGTGGACAGAGGAGTCTGGCAGGCTGCAGTCCATGGGGTTGAAAAGAGACACGACTAAGCGAGTAACACTTTCATTTTCACTGCCTACAGGGGGCCATGTCCAGGTTCCTTGGCTTTAAGATGGCATTTTTGCTTTATTCCTGAATTGCAAGTAAAAACAGCTTTTGAATGATTACTCTGTGCCAGGCTTGGCAGAGGCCAGTGAAACGCATAACCTCCTCTATTGTCTCGGCAATGCCGGAGGTGGAGCCCCAGGTGACAGACCAGATAACACAAGTGGCAGAGTCGCAAGTAACCCAACCCAGCACTCACTTGGAAGTGGCAGAGAGAAATTTTAAATGCAGGTTATCTGTCTCCAGAGCCCATACCATTTCCTACTGAAAAACACATGTCCATAATTTGTGCGTGGGTATGTACATGCTTTTTAAATAAGCTTTTTATTTTGGAATATTTATAGATTTATAGGAAAGTAGGAAGGGTAATACAGTTTCCTTCACCCAGGTTTCTGTATGCTAACCTATATAATATGTTATAATATATATTATATATTTGCTGTTGTCCAGCTGCTAAGTTATGTATGCCTGACTCTTTGTGACCCCATGGATTGTAGTCCACCAGGCTCCTCTGTCCATGGAGTTTTCCAGGCAAGAATACTGGAGTAGGTTGCCATTTCCTCCTCCAGGGGATCTTCCCAACCCAGGGATCGAACCGGCATCTCCTGGGTCTCCTGCACTGGTATATGAATTCTTCACCACTGTCCCACCTGGGGAACCCTGTATGTGGTAGGTTATTTAAAACTAAAAAATTAACATTGGTACAATGAGCTAACCTACAGCTTTTATTTGAGTTTCATCAACTTTCCATGAATATCCTTTCATTGTTCCCAGATCTGATCCAGGATCCCACACTGCATGGTACATTGTGGGTTTGACCCTTAAACACCAAAGTGGGCTGAATGTTGAAGCGTGTTTGGGCCCTGCCATCCTGACTGCAGACAGGGGAAGTGAGAAAGCTGCCGGCCTCCCAGGCCTTCCTCATGGGTGGTCATGTGGGGGGCCAGGGGCGCGGGTGGGCAGTGCCCAGGCCTCCCATTGTCTTATAGGAAGTGGAAACCCTATGTCGGGGAGAAGATTTAGAACAGATGGAGACAAGTTTTAAATACAGATCACACTTGGTCCGCATGTAGTGGTCAACAACTACAGCTGCATTTCAAGAAATGAAAGAGGAAGATTCTGCAAAGAAACATGATCTACAGTGCTGTGAATAAGTTCATGATAGGCTTGAACTCCCAAGTGTTCCAGGAGGTTATTCAGGACTAAAGCAGAGGCTCCCAGTCCCACTGCCTACGGGGTCACTTAGGGAGCCTCCAAAGGACTCAGGCCTGAGTCCCTCTCCCCAACTCTGTGATGTCATCAGCCTGGGTTGTGGCCTGGACTGTGGAATTTTTAAAAGATGCCATTTAAAAGTGACTCTAATGTGCAGCCTTGTTTGGGAGCCACTGATCCAAAATCTCAGTATTTCAGCTGCAGAACTAAGGCCAAGGATAGCGATGACAGCAGCTGGACACACAGGCTGCATTGGTGTAAGTGGTGTCCCTCACCCAACACCTTCTGGAATCACCAGTGGCTTCCTTCCCTTCTGGCTCTTTCTCTCCTAAGCCCTCCCCTCCTTCTAGAATTCCTCCTTAACTGGCACTGTCCTTTCTCCAGGCTCTTCTGTTCTCATCCATTCCTCTTCTCTCCAGCACAGGCCCCTGCCTCATACTGCCTCCACCTGGAAGCCTCCCAGGCTTGCCCACAGCCTGCCGTCCCTTCTTCCCCGGTGGCCTTGCCTGCCAGCTCTCAGTTACCCTGAGAAGGAATCCTGCCATTCCTGTATACTTGCTGTTCCCTCTACCTGCAGATTCTTTACTGACTGAACCACCAGGGAAGCTCGTGTATACCTATAATCTGCATTCCCATACATACTTGTGTGTGTACATGCACACTTGCATGTGTCTTTTATTACACTCTGACATGTGTGCACCCATGAGCACGCATGAATACACCCTGGTCCTCCCTGCCCATTGATGATGCTGTTGAAAATGTACTTCCTGTTGGACTTCTGATTTTAGCTCCTGATTTAAGCTTAGGTTCTTGAGGATGAGGCTGGCTTGTGTTAGGTATGGGGAGTTTTATATGGATATGTCTATAATGGTAGAAGCTGACAAGGAAAAAGAAAGACATTTTTGACCTAAAGGATGTTTTTAAAAATGTAGGCATCTTGGTAAACTAGTTAGGATGATTCTGAAGGGGTTCTTTGTAGAACGATTGAGAATATCATTTATCTGGCCCTGAAATATTTCTTTGCCTAAATGTTTCTTGGGGACTTCGCTCATGGTCCAGCGGTTAAGAACCTGCCTTGCAATGCAGGGGACGTGGGTGCGATCCCCGGTTGTGGAACTAAGATCTCACATGCCACGGAGCAACTAAGCCTGTGTGCCGCACTAGCCCATGCTGCAACTAGAGAGAGAGCCCAAGCGCCGCAGTGAAAGGTCCTTCATGACCTCATGAAGAGCCCATGTGCCACAGCTAAGACCTGGCACAGCCCCCAAACTAAATATTAAAAAAATAAATGTCAACAGAGGGTGGTGGAGGGTGGGCAGCATGCCCATAATGCTCAGAAGAAAGTGTACTCCCTGCCCGTGTTGTGAAGTGTCCTGGGGTGGCTGTGGTGCAGAGCGGTGCCACCCTGCTGTGTGGAGGAAGCTGCGGGCTTCCTTTGCCCTGGGTTTGGGGCCTACTAAGTGCTGTCCTTGTGTCCTTTCTTGTTCCTGTCTGGTCTCTCCTCCACAGAGGGAATCTTAGAAAACATGCAGATCAGATCCCTCGTCTTTCCAGAGATCACTCTCCGGATAAGGAGCTGGTCCTGCTGCAGCTGGATGCAGCGGCTGGCTCCATCCTGCCACCTGCCTGTCACCAGGGTCCCCTACCTGCCCTTGCAGCTCTGCCCCTTCCTCTCTCAGGATCTTCCCAGCAGCCTCCCCGTGGCCTCCCTGCCGCCCGCTCACTGTCAGGTCCCATGTAAATGTCACTCCAAGACCCCACTGACCAAACCAGGGCTCTGTTACGTGGCCGGGCACCGCCAGGCTGCCCGTCCACCTCCCCGTCTCTGTTCCTCCATGTGCTTGCATGGTCGCCACTGCCCGCTCCCAGGAGGACTGGGGCCCTGAGCGCTCACCACGCTCCCTCAGGACAGGGTCTGGTTCCTCCGAGAGGCAGGTGCTCAGAGGGGCGAGACGTGGGCGAGGTTTAGGGAGGTGCCCCTGAGGATAGAGGCGGGGGCAGGGAAGCCTTCCAGGAAGACCAGGAAGGAGCGAGTCTCACCGCCCAGGAGGCTCTGGTCAGGCTGACGGGGGGCTCTTGGGCCCAGGTTGCTTATAAGAGTTGTCCTGTCTCCCCCGGAACGGTCTGTGTTCACCCTATCCTTCCTTTAGCTCCAGGAGGTGAGTTTTGGGGTAGCAGATACAGTGAGGAGTACTCTGGAGCTCAGAGAGCCCTCTGCTTTGCCGAAAGGCAAAGAACTGTCAGGTTAACCAGTTGAGCCAACTGGGCAACTCCACTGCGTGCGTGCTCAGGCGCTTCAGCCGTGTCCGACTCTGTGTGACCCCGTGGACTATAGCCCCCCAGGCTCCTCTGTCCCTGGGATTCTCCAGGCAAGAATAGTGGAGTGGGTTACCATGCCCTCCTCCAGGGGATCTTCCTGACCTAGGGATCGAATTCATGTCTCCTGCACTGGCAAGTGGGTTCCTTACCACTAGCGCCACCTGGAAGTCCCAGATAACTCCACTAGTTAACTTCAAATGGAATTCTCCATCCTCTGTGGTTGAGCAGTCATTCCATCTTGGGACGGTGTTTGTACACGACTTACATCCCGTGCTGGATCGTAAGCAATCTGGGGGAGGGGGTGGTGTCTTGCCCTTGTCTGCATCCCCATTCAGTATCCTGTGTTCAGTGAGGACTGGTTTTGTTGGCCCGGATCGCACAATTGAAATGGAAATGCAGTAAAGCTTGATTTATTTTTCTCCAGCACTTGTCTCGCTCATCAGATTCTTACTACAGTGACCCCGAGGCACTTCCGAATCCCCAGGTGCTCTCTGGACTGTCTGAGAAAGAGGAACTTGCGCTCAGTTGAGTGTTTGTGCTTAATGTATGTGATTGGATTCTGGTTCTTGGAAAACAAGTTAATTCTCAGGCTTGTGTGGTTTCTTTATGATCCGGAAACTTTGGTTAATCTGAACATTTTATAAAAGTCTATGCCTTGACCATGACAAATAGGATTAAAATTCCTTCCATGAAAAGAGTATATTTACTTATGTTTCCACTGTACACTTATACATAGGTTGTGTTTTGTGAAGTCATCATGTTGTATTTCTCTGACTATTCTACACATCCTCAGCAGTGCCTCTGAGTCCCTGTGTTTCCCCTTCAGGAGGCAGAAGTGCTTTCCCCACGGGGCCTTAGCATCACTGAGCAACTTTCCGAAACCCACATGAGCATTTTGTGTAGATTTTAACTTGGGTATTGGCTTTAAGGTCTTCCAAGTAAATTCATGAGTATGTTTTCTTAAATTGCGTAGTTTAGATTTCCTAGTCAAAAATGAATATTATTTGGTCAATGTATATTAGATGCCTTCTCTGTATACTAGGATTTGGTGGGGGGCTGTTGTAACGATCTCATGGAGCTTATTTATAGCATAAATTGAGAACAGTTTATATACACCAAAGAGAATAACTGACAGAGCTGGGTATCAATAAATAGGGATGAGGAGTGATGTGGACTCTTGGTGAAGGCCTGTGAGCTGGGTAATCTGGCCGAGGTAGCTGATGGGGGAGGGGTTGGATGGATAAAGGGAGAGTCTTAGAGGTGGGGCAGGCAGGATCCTTGCTGACGGGGCTGGTGACATTGGTTTCTCCAATTTTCTGCATAAATTATGTAAGCAGATGCTCCTGGGTATCTTATCTGGGCTGTGTGTGGGAGCCCCGTGACATCTGGGCCGAGTCGAAGCCCTCATCCTTCCCTCCCTTCAGTCTCAGAGCTCACTGGGTGGATAGGGTGGAGATGGGACTCCACACAAGCAGGGGCCTGCCGGTCTGCGCCGTGGAGAGGAAGTGAGAGGACTGTGCTCCCCTCCCCTAGAGCCTGCTGTGGAGTGTGAGGCTGCAAGGGAAGGAGACAGCTGCTGAGGCCCTGCCTGCGTCTCAGCCTGTCTGGGGCCAGCTGCGCAGACTGGAGCCCTCTCTGGGTTTACACAGAACAGAGGGCACAGCTGGCTTCAGGTCCCTCCCTCGTCTTGCCACAGTCAACTTCCTGCCCGCTTGAACCTGTGTTCCCAGAGCTGACTGCAGCAAGGTGCCAGAAGGACTCTTTCTCTCCAAGGTCTGATGCATTAGAAGCCTTCCTCAACCGCAGGATGTGAAGGCTGGGCTTGGATGTCAGGGCGGATTTCAGGCAGGGTAGATAAGTAACAGTTGGTTTCTGGTTAGAGGGCTGGGGCTTCCCAGTTGGGAACCCTCCTGCCAATGCAGGAGACTTAAGAAATGAGGATTCGATCCCTGGGTCGGGAAGATCCCCTGGAGGAGGGCATGGCAACCCACTCCAGTATTCTTCTCTGGAGAACCCCACGGACAGGGAGTCTGGTAGGCTACAGTCCATAGGGTCACCAAGAGTCAGATATGGCTGAAGTGACTTATCATGCAGGCACAGAGGGACATCAGGTGCGCGTGTGTGTGTTAAGTTGCATGTCTGTTAAATCATGTCTGACTTTTTGCAACCCCAGGGTCTGCAGCCTGCCAGACTCCTCAGTCCATGGGGATTCTCCAGGCAAGAATACTGGAGTGAGTTGCCAGCTCCTTCTCCATAGGGACATCATAAATGTCCTCAAAAAAAAAAAAAAAATTTAAAAATAAGTGGAAAAAGGTTTCAGAGCAGCCGTGTGCTCCATATGGGTTTCTGATACCCCTTCTGGCTCATTCCACAGGTGCCCTCCAGATCCAACCCTACTAGCTCCTCTGCCCTCTCTGGAGGCTTAGGATCGAGAGCGTGTGACAGTCTCTGTTTCTGGGGTCACATTCTGGGAAGGCTCCCACCTGGGGGATGTCTGGCGTACAGGAGGATTCAGGGACTGGGCTCCCCCCGTTCCCCACCCCTACCTCTCAGCCCCTCATTTGATGAACACTGTGGCCTGACGGCATCTTACAGGACACCCCCGACCCCCACCCAGGAACTCGGGCTCCCATTGGGGAACTGCTTGGATAGCAGCTGGGCCAGGGCTGGGGAGGTTCCAGACCCTTGGTTGAGTAGCTTTAAGGAAGGCTACTCAGACCCAAGGACCTACAGTTACTTGAAAAGAAGTGAAATTTCAAACAAATTATTTTCTACTTAACGTTGCCCATTTAACTTCAGAAGGGTTATTTGTGTGATTGGACTTGCATAAAAAAATTAGTTTAAAGTCTCTTTAAGCCAAAAAACAATACAGATTTCATAGGACTCTGTTTTGAAGGTATGAATTTGCTGAATAGTTTTCCTTTGGTAATTGAAGCCAGAGTTCAGTGTTCTCTCTGCTTCCTTCTGGATTCCTTTTTCTTCGAAAAATATTTTGCCAGTTTTACAGGCAGAGGAGAGTTAGTTCTTCTTGGCATGCCTCTGCCCTGTGCTGACCACCTCCAGGTGCAGTGGGCAGCCTCAGATGGCGAGAGCAATGAGGGAGAGGGTGGGTCTCCTTGGGATCACAGAGCATGGTGACCCAGTTTGGTCTATTAAAAAAAAATTTTTCTTTATTGAGGTGAAACACATATAACACAGAATTACCCTTGTAACCATTTTCAAGTGTACAGTTCCGTGTCGTTACGGATGTTAGCATTGCTTTGTTTCTGTCACCCTGTCCATCTCCAGAACTTTGTTGTCTTCCCAGAGTGAAGCTCTGTGCCCCCTGAGCACTAGCTCCCAACATTCTCCTCCCTCCAGCCGTCTGCCTTCCTCCAGCCCCTGCAACCATCTTTCTACCTTCTGTCTCTATTAATTTGACTCCTCAAGGTATCTCATATAGGTGGGATCAAACATACTTGTCCCTTTGTGACTATCTTATTTCACTGAACGTCATGTTCTCAAGATTGAGGTTCATTCATGTTTTAACAGGAGTCAGAATTTCCCTTTTTTAAATAAGGCTGAATAATTTCCCATCGTGTGGACAGACCATGTGTCATCCATCCATTTGTCAAGGCTCTCTTGGGTTGTTTCCACCTTTGTGTATAGTGAATAATGCCGCTATGAACACAGGGGTACAGTTATCTCTTTGAAACCTGATTTCAATTCTTTTGGGTATATACTAAGAAGTGGAATTGCTGGACCATGTAGTAATTCTATTTTTAATTCTTTGAGGAATTTCTATACTCTTTTCAGCTATACCATTTTACATTCCCGTAAGTGCACATTCCCATAGAGCACACTGGTTTCAATTTTTCCACATCATCATCAACACTTAAATTATTTTCTGTGTGTGTGTTCAATAGTAGCCATCCTAGTGAGTGGTCCAAAATGATGCATTAATGATTCCTTCTGTACATTTTCTGCAGCTTTTTGTCATGTTCTTTCCCACCAATGCAAACCTTGATGGAAGAAAAGAAAAATAAGAAAAAAGAAAAAGTAAAACCTTTCTTTTGACTTCTTGTCATTGCAACTTGTCATCGTAAGTGGTGTCGTTGGAGGTAAAGGATATAGAAAAAGCATGTGATTTGGGGTCAGATGGGCCCCAGTCCATCCATCCATCCATCCATCCATCCATCTCCATCCAGCCATCCATCCATCCATCCATCCATCTCCATCCATCCATCCATCCATCCATCCATCCATCCATCCATCCATCTCACTTTCCCTCCATATATCCTCGCACCCGTTCATTTATTCACCATTTATCAAGCAACTTAAAGGCAGGGCGTGGTCATAACACAGTGGGATCCTGGATGCCTAGCGCTCTCTGTTTACTTGATGAAGAATCTGAGACCATCTGTATTCTGGGAAGTGGGGCAGGTTGTGTGGACCCAGTAGTGGTGGGGAGCTCTGCTCCAATTCTCAGCACAGGCTGCCCTATACACACAGCTGTGCCTCACATTGCTCTTGCGTCTTCCATCCAGTCTGATTCGAGTTGTTCCAGGGCCCAAGACTTAGCCGCTTGCAGGGGTTTGATTTCTCTGAGCCTCAGTTTCCCTAACTGAAAGAAATGTTACAATTCCTGGTTGATTCACATGACTTTGGTAGGGAACTATGGAAATTAACTGCAGATGAGGATACGTCATGAGTAACAAGGTGCTACAAAATATCAAAATAATAACTGTTAATAACATTTTAATCACAATTACTGTTAGTCCCAGGCACCATTCTGAGGGGTCTGCCTGTAGTAACTCATTTAGTTTAATGCTCACCACCATCCTAGGAGAGAAGTACTGTTGATACCTCCATTTTACTGATTAGCAAACTGAGGCACAGAGAGGCTAAGTAACTTCAGAAATGTCACACAGCAAGAAATGGCACTGTGTGGTTTGAACTAGGCAATGAGGTGCTGAAACTCATGCTCTCAGCTGCTATAGCATCATGCCTCTGAGAGGCATCAACAATTTTATTGTCTCCATCCTTCTCGCATAGCTGGGAGGGGAACACAGCCCCTGGTTTGGAGAACACAGTAAAGAGGGCCTCCTGTCATTCATTGTGAGATGAATTGATGGGCATAGGGTCTCAGGCAGCTTTCCACGGTCTGTAGGCATGCAAAGCCGTGGAAAACTCAGGTAATGAAATCATACGTATATCTTAAGAGTAGCCAGCATAGGTGATTGGCTCTCATTCTGAGGAGTGCGCTGGCATTTGGCTTCAGCTCCTTTGCTTTCCAGGCCACTCCAGGATGAAAGCACTGATGCACCTGAAAGATCAACAGGCAGGATGCTGGAGGCTCAGAAGGAACTGCCGAGGTTGTGCTTGAAACATGTTAGCATAATAGCCGTGTCTGCTGCTCTGCTGAACAGAGGAGCTGGGAGGCTGGGCTGTGTCTACACACCCCAGGGGGCACTTCCTGAGGATCATCAGAGTTTCTTTACCAGGTTGGTGTGGTGACCACTGAGCCAGCATCTCTGTTTGGCAGATGCCCAAGGGATGACCTCTGAGCCCGGGGTTGTTCTCCATCCCAGTTCTGGCTGAGCCAGGGACGTGTGTGTGTGTGTGTGTGTGTGTGTATTTATGATGATGTTTTCTCTTTCTCTCCAGGCAGCCAAGATCGCTCACCACCTGCAGCGTGTTTTCGGAGGAGGCGGCTGGCACGGAGGCCGGGCTACATGAGAAGCGCAGCTGGGCCCAGGATCGGGTTCCTCTCCCCGCCAGTGGGCGCTCCGTTCCGGGCCCAGGGTGGGGCGTGCGGCGAGGAGTCTCAGCGCCCTGAGTCCAGGGCCAGCCCATGTGGCCTTGACCCTGGAGGCCAGTGGCGAGGTCGCTCAGTTGGGAGCCTCATTCCCAGGAGCACGGCTGCCTCAGCTCTGGCCTCCGTGGGGCACCGAGGACTGGCTCTGACGGCCGTGAGAGGAAGCCCAGGGCTCCTTGGGGCTCAGCCCCGAGCTGGCACTGCCCTGCCCCATAGGCTCAGCAGGCTGTGTGGCCCCAGGGCCACTGGCTGTCAAGGGGAGTTGCCGTCCATGGACACTCGCGAGGCCCCGAGCCCTTGCCAGGAAGCCTGGAACAAAGGCTGTCCATCCCCGGAGGACGTGAGTGACACCAGCTGCAGCCTCGGGAGTGGCCCCCAGGCCCCCTCTGTCCCTGCCAGCTCTCAGGATGTCTTTACCTCCAGCTTTAGTTTCATTCGCCTCTCCTTGGGCTCTGCCGGGGAGCGGGGAGAAGCAGAAGGCTGCCCACCCTCCAGAGAGGCTGAGGGCCCTCATCAGAGCCTGAAGGAGATGGAGGCCAAGGCCACCAGCTTGGATGGGCCCCACGATCATCCTCAGCTCCTCTCTCTCCCCTTCACTCTCAAGGCTTCTCAGAGCCTGGCAGACGCTTCCCAGACCTCTGGGGGCAGCCCCGGGCTGGAGTGCCAGACTCTTCCATTGTTGGACACGGATGCTGCCTCCTCCTGCTCCCTGGATCCCTTGTGGTTTGAGGCCAGCAGCCCCGGGGATGCTCACCGGTGGGACCCCCTGCTCAGCAAATGTGAGCCAACACTGCTGCACTGTCTGCAGGGCCAGCGGAGACGGCTGGAGGTGGGTGTCTTACCAGCCTACAGGCCCGGGATGGTCACGGCTCAGATTAGTTCTGGGCAGAGGGCCAGAAACGACGCTTCTGGGGTTGACTGATTTCCCACTGGAAAATGCGGCAGCACCTTTGGTGGCTGGCTGCAAAAAGATGTTTCTGCCCTCCTGCTTCTTCTCTTTCAGTCTGAGCTCAAATCTGTCTCGTTTTCTCTGTCCCTTGGATGCTCAGGTTTGTTGTTTGTTGGGCCACAGGCTCCTCTGCGGTTTCTGGCAGGGGTGACTCCTGATTGGCTCAGCAGAGTTCTTCTTTGAAGTGGGAGGTTGGGACCAGGGAACAGGGGAGATGGAGCTGGCTGGTGTGTGGATGGACTGGGTGATATAGAGGTGGTGATGCTCCATATTGGGGGCGATCCAGAGTCACTTCTGCATTTATAGCTCATCTCCCACTGTAGCCGTGGGAGCTCCTGACATGGAATCGGGGGCTTTGTTTCTGGTCACTAAACCTCTCAGCCCCTTAGTTTCCTTTTTTAGAGATGATAACACCACACAGGGTTATTCCGTGGTTCAGTGGGAATGTAAGTGCTTTGGAAATTAGGATGGACTGTATAGATGTATGTCCTGACATTGCAGTGTTGCTGGCCACCCGGTTATCTGAGGGGTGGGTCCACCGTCGACTAGGCAGTCTTGTTCTACCCTAGAAAGTTCCCAGGGAAACCCGGGCAGAGGTGCTTTGTGGTGTGGTGACCCATTGACTCGTCCTGTTGAAAGACTGTTTTCCTTCTGGGGTGTGCATGCATGTATATGTGCACATGTATATCTATGTGCATATGTGTGTGTGTGCACATGTGTGCATGTGTATATATGTGGAGGTGTATACACATGTGCATGTGTATGCATGTGTGTGTGGCATAGGTACATGTAAGTAGGGAAGTAAAGCCTCTCTTATCAGGATTGGAAGGAGAACCTGAAAATGTGAGGCTCATGTTCATTCCGAGGGACTGATCTCATTTGCTCTCAGCCCCTCACCTGTGGCCTAAAGTCCCAGCCACATCCCTGTTTGCCACATCCCAGACCAGCCATCAGATTTATCACCCAGGGAGATAGAGCAGCTGGGCCAGTGTGCAAGGGACAGTGCAGTGTGCACGGAGTCTTTGAGTCGGGCATGTCCAAAACTGACACCACTGTCTTACCCATTAAACCAGTCCTAACAGGCATCACTGTTGATCTGTAACTGTTGATTTGAGCTAATAGAAGGCATCCAGCTCCTTAGAGGAGCTGCAGGTTCTTCAGCCCCTTCCCCTTTGCTCTCTCCCAACCTCTGCTCCATCGTTAAGCGCCCCCAGTCCTGCAGCTAACCTACTCTCACGGCCACGGCCATGGTCCCTGCCTGGTTCAAATGCTTGTTATGTTCCACCCGAGTTCAGTAAGAGGTCTTGACGTATTGACTTTCCTCCAGAGTCTCTCTTCCCCAATTCCTCCTCTGCGAGGTCAGCAGTGTTGTCTTTGGGAATACTGCTGGGATGCTGTTATTCCTTGGCTTAAAACATTTGGTGGCATCTTGCTTCCCTTAGGATGGTCTCCAAACCCCTCATCCGGACAGTGGAGACCCTTCCNTTATAAAGACCAGCTTCCCTTCCTCCCAGATAACCAAACAGAAAATCACTTGGCAATGGGTCTGCTATAGTCAGTACACAATATCCAGTCCCTCAGTTTTGGTAGAACCAACAGTTTTTCCCTTCTTTTCAACTCCTTTTACCAAGATATAAGGGGCTTCCCAGGTGGCGCTAGTGGTAAAGAACCCACTTACCCATGCAGGAGACACAAGAGATCTGGGTTTGATCCCTGGGTTGGAAAGATCCCCTGGAGGAGGGCATGGCAACCCACTCCAGTATTCTTGGTGGAGAATCCCATGGACAGAGGAACCTGGTGGGTTACAGTCCATTGGGTCTCAAAGAGTCAGCCACAACTGAAGTGACTTAGCATGCATATATATAGCCAGATATAGACCATGCCCTCCTGAGAACCTAGATTTTTTGATACTTTGGAGTCTGTGAAACCTTGAACAGATATGCTCTGTGAGGGCCACAGACTCACCATGCCATTCTCTGAACTACCAGGATATTGGGGTGCCTGGGAGCTGGAATTTTAGAGGCTCTGGTTGCAGAAAACCACATTGGCTCACCTTTTAGATTCCGTGATCTTTAGTTTTAAAAAGAAATGAAACACACCCTAGATATGTCTCTTCTTATCTCTGTTATTGACCAAATGCAGCTTTTAAAAAGATATAATTAGTTATAAGCTACTGGAGAGCTGTTTTATGGGGTCTTGGTTTCTGGCAGGTCACCCGGGGGCTTGTACTACTGGCATGCTGGTGGGACTGCCTGACTGGTAGCCTGGTGCTTTCACTTCCTTGCTGTGTGACCTGAAGTCATTTCCTTCATTGTTCTGTGCCTCAAGATGCTCTCGTAGTAGGTGGAGGTAACCACAGTCCCCGCTTGATAGGTTGTTATGAGGATTAAAAGTGCTGGTCCATGAGCAGTGCTTCAGACTGGTTCTGATGCCCAGCAGGGACTCAGAATATTGCTCATTGTTATAGAGTATTGCTCATTAGAGAAATGGCTCAGGCAGAGAATTTGAGTCAAAAAGGGAATCCACTCCTCTTCCTTGTTGACTGAAAAAATATTCACAACCTTTAAAAAAAAATTCACAACCTAAAAGTTGAGAGTTATGTTTTATTTGGTGGGAATTTTTAGGACTTAAGCCCAGGAGATAGCATCTCAAGTGACCCTGAGAGAACTGCTCCAAAGTTGCAAGAGGGGGAGCCAGGTTATAGCAGTTTTGCAACAAAGGGCAGGTACTCTGAACATCAAAAGATTATTGTTAATTAACAAAACCCAGATATCCCAGGTTAAGTAGTTTAGCACTTTTCTGTGTATGGGAAGATGCAAGAGTCTGGGCTCACTGAAATCATTCCTTTGATACTCGACCTCAGCTATCTGGGGCCAATATTCTGTGTTTTTCACATTCTGAGCTTCCTTGGGGCTCACCATAGGGAATGGCTGCAGTCTGATGGCTGCTAGATGACAGATATTCTTTTCCTTCCTGAGTTCCCTCAGGGCTCACTGGGTTACATTGGAAGGCTGCAGTCAGTGATGACTGTGACAGCCATGTTTACTGATATGGCAGGAAATATTCCATTTCTCACCCTACAGTTCAAATTAAACTCACATCTTCTCTCAGACGATAGGATCTGGATACAGTTGATCTGTAGTGTAAGTTCCTTTGTTTATCCAGCACCTGGATAGTGAGTAACATCATGCTCTTTGCAGTGATTTGCATGTCTGTTGTGTGGAAGAGGGATGACCTTTATTCAGGGTGGTGGAGTGACAAAATGAACTCCGTCCAGGGTGAAAGACTTATAGGAATGCAGATTTTGCTTCAGATGGAGGAAGAGGCTCCTGACCATTGAGTTGTCCTTGATGAGAGAGGCCTTGCTTTTTTCATCATGTTTGTGCAGAAACCCCAGATTGCTCATTTGGGCTACAGAACTGGGGAAAGTGTTGAGCTAAGGATCTTCAAAAAGATCCCTTCAAAGATTGGGATTCTAGTGTTCTGGGGCTTTTAAAAATATTATATTCTAATTCATTAACCCCCTTCTCTCTCCTTAAGGAAAATGAAAATCTCAGGAATTCGAATTTTAGCTCCTGTTAAATACAGCCGATCCTCCATATCTGTAGATTCCATATTTGGGAATTCACTTACTTGTTAAAACTTACTGAAGTCCAAAGTCAGTGCTCGCAATGCTTCCCTGGTCTTTTGTGGATGTGCATGCAGTCCCTCAGTCTTGTCTGACTCTTTGGGACCCTTTGGACTGTAGCCGGTCAGGCTTCCCTGTCCCTGGGATTTTCCAGGCAAGAATACTGGAGTGGGCTTCCATTTCCTCCTTGAGGGGATTTTCTTGATCCAGGAATCAAACTCGAGTGTCCTCTGTCTCCTGCATTTCAAGAGGTTCTTTACTTGCTGTGCCATCGGGGGAGCCCTTGTGGACGTGCAGAGAATGATTAAAAATCTGAGCCAACCGATATGCATGTTCTAGCTGAGGTCTTGTTTCAGCTGAGACTGTAAACTAGTGTACTTTAGGTGGCCCGGTTTTTTCAAATTTGGTATAAAGTTTTTTTTTAATTTTGTGTTTTTACTGAAGTGTAATTGATCTACAATGTTGTGTTAGTTTCAGGTGTACAGCAAAGTGATTCAGTTAAAAACTTTAAAAAATTTTTAATACCATGCTTTTCAAATGTTTTATTTGTTTTTTGTTGGGAGGTCACTGTTTAAGCTGGTTCCCAAGCACAGGACTGGCAGTGCTGTCTGGTACTCGTAAGCACAAGAAGGCTGCCATGTGCCTAAGTGGAGAAAGTGTGTGTCCTAGATGAGCCTCTTTCAAGTGTGAGTTGTGAGCTGAATGTTAATGAAGCAGAGATAAATATTAAATATAGCACATTTAAGGGCTTCCCAGGTGGTGCTTGTGGTAAAGAACCTGTCTGCCAACGCAGGAGACATAAGAGACTTGGGTTTGATTCCTGGGTCAGGAAGATTTCCCTGGAGGAGGGCATGGCAACCCATTCCAGTATTCTTGCGTAGAGAATCCCCATAGACAGAGGATCCTGGCAGGCTATGGTCCACAGGGTCACAAAGAGCCAGATACAACTGAAACTACTTAGCACACACAGACAGCATCTTTAAGCTGAAACACACAAAAAACAAGGTTATATATTGATCAGTTGACAAAAATATTGTGACCTAACCCCATTTTCCCCCTGGAAACAGTGGTTCAGTATTTGCTAACTGAGGTTTCCCAGTAATTCTATGGAACATAATGACCACATATGAGAATTGACTGTGTATTTTATGCTGTTTAGAAATAGCCACCCAGGGACATTACCAGGGGTTGGGAAAAGATGCTTTTTCCTTGAAAGGAATGCTATGACAAACCTAGACAGCATATTAAAAGCAGAGACATCACATTACTGACAAAGGTCCGTCTAGTCAAAGCTATAGTTTTTCCATTAATCATGTATGGATGTGAGAGTTGGACCATAAAAAAAGCTGAGCACCAAAGAATTAATGCTTTTGAACTGTGGTGTTGGAGAAGACTCTTGAGAGTCCCTTGGACTGCAAGGAGATCCAACCAGTCAATCCTAAAGGAAATCAGTACTGGATACTCATTGGAAAGACTGATGCTGAAGCTGAAGCTCCAATACTTTGGCCACCTGACGTGAAGAACTGACTCATTGGAAAAGACCCTGATGCTGGGAAAGATTGAGGGCAGGAGGAGAAGGGGATGACGGAGGATGAGCTGGTTGGATGGCATCACTGACTCGATGGACATGGGGTTGAGCAAGCTCCAGGAGTTGGTGATGGACAGGGAAGCCTGGCATGCTGCAGTCCATGGGGTTGCAAAGAGTTGGACATGACTGAGCAGCTGAACTGAACTGAACTGAACTGATGATTTGCAAAATGTATGGAGAAGCTTTTGGGAGAAAGTAAGTTCATAGAATTTCAGCAGATGCACAAGCAATAGCTTTGCCAATTCCAAGACAAAGGGCATATGAGAAAGGAATGGTAATCATGGGGTTCTGTCTGGCTCTGCACTGAAGAGTGTTTCGTTGTCCCCATGATATGAACAGTGGCTATTGATGTAACCAAAAGTCATGACATAACTGAGCTTCCCTGGTGGCTCAGTGGTAAAGAACCCATCTGCCAGTGTAGATGGCAGTTGGATCCCTGAGTTGGGAATATATACCCTGAAGAAGCAAACAGCAACCCGCTCCAGTATTCTTGTCTGGAGAATGCTATGGACAGAGGAACCTGGTGGGCTGTCTATAGCATTGGTCACAAACAGTCAAACATGACTTAACAACTAAACAACAACATGATTTAACTATATTGAGAGGATTAGAGGAAAGGAAGTGTGTGTGTGTGTTAGATTCACTACTATGACAGAATCTACAGTGTTTTAGTCAGGGTTCCCTGGGAAATGCATCCTGTGCCGGAAATTTACTGAGGCATATCCTTGGGATCAACTCTTGAGGAAAATGGAGGAAATAGGATTGGCCAGAGGGAAGAGTTGAGAAATTATAAACTCTCCCCCCACTCTACTTTCCTCCATAGTACTCTGCTCATGTGTTAGAGATTAACAGTAGTAAAAATAATAATAATAATAAGTCCTGGGTCATGCATTTACAGAAATACTCTATTTTGAACCAAATGTATCAGCTGAGAAATGAGCATCACTGGAAGTGAATGAGACACTTTGGAGCCAGACTGGCTTCTAATCCTGGTTTCATAATTTCATAGTCTGGTCATTTGGGACAAGTCATTTAAATGGACTGTGCTTCTGAGTTCACCTTTGTGAATGTGGTACAATAATACTAGCTGCTCACTGAATCCTTGGGAAAATGACATGCATTCAGACCCGTTATGCACAGAGACTGTGTTTGGCTCACGAAGCATTAGCCATTATGTATATTTTATATATTAGCCTGAAAAAAATTAGAGTCTCAATGGATCAAGTGCTCTCAGGCCACCTCTAGAGTGAAACACCATCATTTTATTTAAATAGCATTAGTTTCCTACATTTCAATTCCTCCTCATCATCTTATTTTTATCTTCCTATTCCTTCTTCAGTATAGACATAGTATATAAAACTGAAACTTTTATAAAGCATTTCATTCTTTTTGTTTGTTTTCCGTGTGTTTGGTTTCTCCCACTCTTCTTTTTTCCCAAATACAGATGAGAGCACTTTATTATTCAATGATGGTAGAATCAGGAATAATATCACTATGCTCTGTTGTCTTGGGATTCCCAGGTAGGGCAGTGGTAAAGAATCTGCCACATGTTGCAAGAGATGCAGGAGATGCAGGTTCGATACATGGGTTAAGATCCCCAGGAGGAGAAAATGGCAACCCACTCCAGTGTTCTTGCCTGAAGAATCCCATGAACATAGGAGCCTGGTGGGCTATAGTCCATGGGGTCGCAGAGTTGGACATTATTGAGTGACTGAGCATGCTCACTGCTGCCCTACTTCCAAAAGGGAAAACAGGTTTAATACATTATAATAATTTGTACATGTTTATTTTCCATTGGTGGAAGAAAGCCTCATCATAACATTTTAAGGTTTATGCAAATAACAAGTTCCCAAGGTCTAAAGGATAATATTTACACAGTTGGGTATATCGATAGGTTTTCACTTCCTGTTGAGAAGAGAAATAATGAACAAATGAATGTGTTGGTAATTCTCAGACAAGTGATGGGATCATTGAGTCTCGTTCTCATGCTCAATTGCTAAGTCATGTCTGACTCTTTGTGACCCCATGGACTGTAGCCCTCCAGTCTCCTCTGTCCATGGGATTCTCCAGGCGTGAATACTGAAGTGGGTTGCCATTTCCTCCTCCAGGGGATCTTCTCGACCCAGGGATCGAACCCACATCTCCTTCGGCTCCTGAATGGCAGGCAGATTCTTTACTGCTCTGCCACTGGGGAGACCATCCTTGAGTCTACATGTAGATTAAATAAGCCAGTGCCCATTTCTATAATGGAAAGATCCTTAGGACTTCTTTGATGAAGTCTTTCAGTCTCACCCGGCCCTCAGGACAGCCTGTTGAGTTGAAGTTCATGGTTTTCTTTTCCTGGTTTCTCCTCTAATGTTGGTGTGTTTATTTTCATAAATTTAATGTGATGCTTTTGAACAGAAAACATTTGGTCAGGTCAGGAAATTTGTATTCCTTTTTATAATGCATTTTTCACACAGATAAGGGTACAGTGTGATGTTTTTGTTTAAAAATGACATTCCAACTCTTTTTGGGGTTTTATGCTCAAATTATGCTTTTTCTTTATGTAACTTTTTCTTGGACAAATGAATGCATCTGGCATTGAAAAAATGTACATTTGTGGTTCTTTTTTAAAAGGAGAATAGTAAAAAAAAAAAAAATAAAAAAAAAATAAAAGGAGAATAGTGTGGTTCAGCTTCAAAATAGTTTCTTTTTTTTTTTAAATAGTTTCTAAGTGTTCTTAACTTTAACAAATTTGTTCGTGTGAACAAGATTGTAATTCAGTTTTCATTTTTCCCCCTTTCAAACCAACATAGGTAAAATCCTTAAGATTAAAGCTTCAGAAACTTCAAGATAAAGCAATTGAAGAAGATGATTATGATAAGGGTGAGTTTTGCCTTGTTTATTGATTCTTTCTTCTCTTCCCATAATGTGCAATTCGGCTTTCCCTCCTTACTCACCTGTATCCTCCACACCGCAAATGAATTGTGTAATCTGTTCCCCTGATCATTTCCACTGAGTAACAGTTGACTATTTTACCGCACTGTTGTTTTCTGAATTTCAAAGCAGTTTAGGAGGAATAATCCTTTGGGTCATAAGTATAACCTTATTGATTTTTCAGAAGCACTCTGAGTACTTGCACAATAAGAGTTACATTAAGTCATCATCTATCTATCTAAGGTGTGATGTTGTTGTTGTTGTTTAGTTGCTCAGTTGTGTCTGACTGTTTGCAACCCCATAGACTGTAGCCCTCCTCTGTCCATGGGATTCTACTGGAGTGGGTTGCCATTCCCTTCTCCAGAGGATCTTCCTGACCCAGGGACTGAACCCACATCTTCTGCATTGGCCAGTGGATTCTTTACCACTGAGCCACTCAGGGAAGCCCCAAGTTGTGATGTAGCTATACTTTATTCACTCATCAAAAAATATTTGTTGAACACCTACTATGTGGCCAGCACTGTGGCAGGAATAGGAGAGTAAGAGAATATAGTTTCTGGCCTTGGGATGCCTGTGAGTATGCGCCCTTGTGGAGCTTTCTGACTTCACACGCTTGGGGACCAGGTGTAGGAGTTGGGATGAGCTTAAGAGATGATGCCAGTCTTTGTGAGTGGGCTCGGATGTGTCAAATTCCCATGTAGATGGCCTGAAATAGTCAAGCTGGAAAGAAGCCATGACATGTAGATGGAAGAGTTGGTCAGAAGCCAGAAAAACCCAAAGCAGAGTGAAGCACTCAAATAGGAGTCAGGCCAAAGCGGACAAGGGTATCATGGGTGCCAAGTGGACACTGGGTTGACTGTGTCAAAGAAAGTTGCAGGTCTGGTTGGATTGGGAAGGATCTTAAGGACCTGGGTACCGATTGCAAGATCTTACATTCATTTCTGCTGGGTCTCAGGGATAAGAGAGAGCCTTAGAGGACTTCATGTTCCACCAGGCACTCATGAACTTGAGAACTATGCTGGTGATAACCAAGCTTAGCACAGTGAAGATCGGCCTGGAGGTATTTTAGATTTAAGGCTCCCCTGGAAGCTGGTTAGCCTTGAGGCTTTGTCTTCAACCTCATGGGGCCATATTCTGGTTTCCCAGAGGGTACATCACAGACCATTAGGAGCTGGGTGCTACAGGAATGGGGCAAGTGACTCCCAAAAGAAGGGTGCAAATCCTATTCTAGGAAACACACGGAGCAGAGCTGATGCTGTCTGGTGTCCTTGTTCACCATTGGCATTGGGAAGAAGGAGTGGAATTTGGGGATGGAGCTCTTTAAACTCTGCCACTCCATTTTGACAGGACATTTTGATTTCAGAATGATGCCTGGTGGAGGATGATGTAGGTGAGAGAGGAGCAGATGATCTGTTCCCAGACCCAGGTTCCCCTGGGGGCTTTTGTCAGTGGGAGACCACTACACCTAGGTTTTGAGGCTCCCTGCTATGGCACAGGTTTATTTTCTCTTCCACGGGGTGTGCCTCGGATCCTTTGACAACACAGCTCTCTCTGTAGCACACAAAGCTTCAGACACAGGTGAAAAACCACACCCTCTTTTTCTGATCAAGAAAAACCTCAACTTTTCTGGATGTGGTGCTCTCAATGGGCTTCATTAAATGAAGGCCTCACTTCTTTAGCCCTTTCTCCAAATGTCTCTGAAACACCTCAGGGGAGAAGTTGAATAGGACACACCTCACAGGGAAGCGGAAAGAATAAAGGTGACTTTGTTCAGTGTTTCTGCCTGTTTATTTTCCTTGTTTGTATGTCAGTGTCCACCGAAGGAAATGTTTAGGGGTAGGCCAGCATTCTGTGTTTCCTCAGGTCTTACAGGAGATTGAGGTGCATGCTGATGCCTGGGAAAACACAGGGGTGTCGGACTTTCTTCTGTGGAAAATCAGGCCTGTGGTACAGTGGCAGCTGAGTCTAGCCAGTGAGCTTCAATCTGAGGGCTGTGTCCCTTCTGGTGAAGATGACTGGGCCCTGAGGGGTGAGTAGGATATACTGGAAGGGCAGAGAGCTGGAAGGGCCAGCGTTGCTTGTGAGCCACCCTTCCAGTCTGATCGCCTTGAAAGGAGATCTGGAACTGGCTCTGTTATCTAAGGGCTTCCTTGTTTGCTAAGTGCTAGAGAGTCTGCCTACAATGCAGAGATGGGAGTTCAATCCCTGGGTCAGGAAGATCCCTGGAGGAGGGCATGGCAACCCACTCTGGTCTTCTTGCCTGGAGAATCCCATGGACAGAGGATATCGGCAGGCTACAGTCCATGGGGTTGCAGAGTTGGACGCGACTGAAGCCACTTAGCATGTGTGTGTTTGTTGTGTGTGTGTGTGTCTGTGAAGTACACTCAGTCATGTCTGAATCTTTGTGACCCCATGGACAGTAACCCACCAGGCCCCTCTGTCCATGGAATTCTCCAGGCAAGAATACTGAAGTGGGTTGCCATTTTCTTCTCCAGAGGATCTTNATATATGGGGAAACAGTGGAAACAGTGACAGACTTTATTTTCCTGGGCTCCAAAATCACTGCAGATGGTGACTTCAGCCATGAAATTAAAAGACGCTTGCTCCTTGGAAGAAAAGTTATGACAAACCTAGATAGCATATTAAAAAGCAGAGGCATTACTTAGACAACAAAGATCTGTCTAGTCAAAGCTATGGTTTTTCCAGTAGTCATGTATGGATGTGAGAGTTGGACTGTAAAGAAAGCTGAGTGCCAAACAACTGATGCTTTTGAATTGTGGTGTTGGAGAAGACTCTTGAGAGTCCCTTGGACTGCAAGGAGATCCAACCAGTCCAACCTAAAGGAGATCAGTCCTGGGTATTCAATGGAAGGACTGATGCTGAAACTCCAATCCTTTGGCCACCTGATGTTAAGAACTGACTCATTTGAAAAGACCCTGATGCTGGGAAAGATTGAGGGCAGGAGGAGAAGAAAATGACAGAGGATGAGATGGTTGGTTGGTATCACTGACTCAATGGACACGAGTTTGAGTAAACTCTGGGAGTTGGTGATGGACAGGGAGGCCTGGCAAGCTGCAGTCCATGGGGTCACAAAGAGTCGGATACGGCCAAGCAACTGAACTGAACCAACTGAACTGAACTGAAACTAATTGCTGAGTAATTAGGGAAGTTGAGGTGGAGAGATTGTGGTCATGAAATGTGTTGACATAAGAGCTGAATAAAGTTTGCTTTCTCATCTATGATAGTTTATCCAGTTACTAATGAACATTTTCATAGTTTCTGAGATGTCCTTGGCACCCAGTGTTTAGTCTTTGTGTGGACTGTCTTCTTGTTCTGAGGGGCAGCTCAGCAGCTGTGTCTTTCTCTAGGGAATGGGTCTGCTGATGTCCACAAGGTTTGCCAGGAGCACGTAGAGGGTGACCTTATCCCCCTTAGTTTTGTTTTGTTTTTTGCTTTTCTCTCTTTCTTTCTAATTTCACTTGTAAAAACAACTTTGAGAAATGAGAGAGAAATGAGCCATGAGCACAGACTAGAAAGCTCCATGTTTTGTTATCTCATTAACGTGCCGACAGATTTACCTGCAGATGCCCGGTGAGGAACCTTCTCAGATCTCTAATGACATCTCTCCCTTGCTAGAGAAGGAAGGTTACTACATCCTCATATTCTTGCAGAAAGCTGGGAGGACTGAGGTGAAAAAGATGTTGCTATTTGGTATTTTCTTGAGGTCTCTCTCCTGGAGACTCCACGTGCTCCTTGGTTTCCTCACTTGACCGCTTATCCCACGTCAGCTGAGGGGTGAGGCTGAGACCTGGGAGTCCCACGGGGGAGACCCTGCCAGCCAGGGACTGGGGGTGAGAGGCCCGGGTCTGCGATGTGCTGGGAGGGAGAAAAGGAGAGTGTGGACCACGTGTTCGACATGGTTGCTGTCCCAGTGGCTCCTGTGTGGGTGTGTGGCCTCTAACATCCCCTGGCCACACGTGTCCACTGGTGACCGTGTCGCCCACGCACGAGGAGGCCGTGAGTTGGTGACGTCAGCTCTTCAGTGACCTGCATCACGTGTCATGGGGTGAGCTGGCTTTCCTGCTTGCCTAGACTTTCTTGGAGTGGAGAGTGGTCAACACTGAATTCCTTTCTCTCTCCTTCTGTCTCAACCAGTAGCCATTATGACAAAATTCTAGCACAATAAAATGTGAGGCATTCAGAGAAAGATGATCCAAGCAGAGGCCAAGCATGAAACCATGAGAATGGCCAGCTCTTGTCTAAATTGCCGTCATCTTCTTTTTTTCTGAATTCTTTCTTTAGCAAGCTTTCTCCGTCCACAGTGGCTCCTTGGTGACAGTGTGCAAATCATCCAAGCTGACACCCATTTCTTTCCCAGGGGCCCACTCTAAAATCCACCCATGGCTTCTGGAATCTAATGCATTCTTATCTTGGGACTACAACTGTGACTGAGCACGATGAAAACCCACGGGTTCCTTTTCACTGCATTTCATTTGAGCCTCGAAAGCAAAAGACAAGACTGAGTAGAATCTGGTCATTTTTATATCCACAGGACAGCAGAGTCAGCGGGAGGTGGACCCCATTCTGGCTACCCCAGAACAAAAATGTGATTCTTGGCAGCCTATACAGTTTTGTGTTCTGACTTGGAAAGAGCTACATTGAACCCTAGGATTTCCCAAGAGATGTGGGTTTTCCCTGGGTTGGGAAGATCCTCTGGAGGAGGGCATGGCAGTCCACTCCAGTATTCTTGCCTGGAGAATCCCATGGACAGAGGAGACTGGTGGGCTACAGTCCACAGGGTCACACAGAGTCACACGACTGAGCAACTTAGCATGCACCCTGAACCCCAATGTGAATGTGGGTGCAGCTTCTGTCTGCAGCCCCCTGCCCACACCCTTCCCTTCTCTCCCTGCATCCCAGTCTGGAAACAGCATCCTTCTGGCCCTTTATGCAGAGGGCTCGCCCCCTGTGA